TTGTGATTGCGACCTGGGAGCACTATCACTGTGTTATTGACCCACAGGTCTAAATATTATATTATTTCTATAGTTACTTAAGATTTTGACATTAAAAAAATCTTTGTATTAATCTTTTGATTATATACAAAAAAATATTTATAAAAAGTTTTTTTATTTCTTTATTAATAAAGTCTTAATATTTTTCTTAAAATAACTTGAAATATAACTTCAATAATTATTTTTATAATAATGATTTGTAAGCAATAAACTTGATAGCTAAAGGATAATCCAAGTTATTAAGAGAGTCAAATATCATCTCCTAAGTTGCATCTAGAGAAGTTAAACTTCTAAGATAGGTGAGTTGTTATATAAAAATCTTTGAAATTGTATAATATTTTAAATATACAATAATTATAAGCTGTGTCAGCTTGATAGCAGATTAAAAAAAAATATATAATATCAATGATTATTTTTACTCTTCCTTTTTATTTATAAATCTTTTTACACAAAAACTTGACTTCTAATAATCAAGAAAAATAATATAATATCTTTAATATTGATAATTAAAAAGTTTTCAAAAAAAGAAGAATTGATTATAAAATATTTAAAAAACTTTTTAATTTTTAAAATAAAAGATTATAAAAGTTTTTTGTAATAAAAAAGTTTTTTTTTTTTAAATGTATTGATCTTTTAAAACTTTTACTTTTATAATTTTCTGAAAAATTTTATCTATCTTAATTTAATCCTAAATTTTAAGTAATATAAATTTTTACTAAAAATAATTGACTAATATAAAATATATTTGTTTATAAATATAAACAATATTCTATTAATTACATTTATATTTTCTAATAATGTTATTGATTATTAGAAAAAATCTTCTAGAAATATTTATTTTCAAAAGCTCAAATCTCCCAAAAAAGGTATTTATTATATCAAAAAATCAAGAAATAAATAATATAGATTGCAAACTTTCATTTTTTATTTAAGTTTTTTAAGTAATAAAAAGGTTTAATGAACAAAAATTAAAGTCTTTATATTTTTCTTGAGATATTTCAATACAATACTTGCTTAAATAATAAATTAGTTAAAATGATTTGTCTAATATTGTAGATAATAATAAAAAAGAAAAAATTTTTTTTTGAGATTTATGTAAAATAAAAAATATATTCTAATCAGATAATTTTTTTGAAAGAAAAATAATTTTGTTTTTAAAAAAACTTTTTTTTTTTCAATTTAGCAATTTATTAATTTTAGATTAATTAACAATGACAAACAATTGAAATTAATTTTAAAAAATAAATATTAATTCAATTTTATCAGAAAAGTATAATATTATCTTTGAAATCTGATTTAAAGTACTTATATATAATAACAAGTTATTTATTTTATGAAAGTCTATAAATTATTGTAAATTTTTGATCAATTTCTCAATAAATTATTATTGCAGCATAATTAAAAATTAAAAATTTTGATTTAAAACAAGTTTTGTTAATAAAAAAATTAAATTATATATAAATACATATACTCATGTATATTTTGTACTAAAATAGTCAATAGATATAATAAACATATACTATTGACTTGACTTAATAGATTATTGTAAAAAAATAATAATTAATAATTAATAAAATAATCATATAAATAAATTGATAATACTAAATTTAATTAATATTAAATTTGCAAAAGTATATTATTTTTTATTTAAAATACTTAAAGCTATTCTATTAATTTAGCTTATATAATATTAAAAAATTTTTTTATTAATTTTGATTATAAATATATAATATAAAAACTTATTACAAATATAAATATTAAAATAATAAATCAAGAAAAAATTTTTTTCACTTAATATCAATAAAAAGAGAAATAGAGACAAGTTAAAAATTATGTCTTGCAGTATAAACAAATTTATGCTAAATCTTCTGTAATATGCTATAGTTCTTACAATAAAGCTTTACATTTATTTATTCGAAAGATATTAAAATATCAAAAAAAAATTCACTTAATATGTGAATACACAAATATGATATGTTTTCTCATTTAACTTTTCTCTGTAATATTGTATAATTCATCCGAGCTAATTCCTCGCAAGTCAAATCCTTTCATCTTTTTATTTTCACCGGTTTCTAATTTCTCTAATTCCGCAGTTTTTCGTTTAACAGATTCTCTCAAGTTTGAGATTTCTCTTTCGAGATTCTGCTGGTCTGCACGTGTTAAATCGCGAAGAGAACTATTTAGCGCTAAATTTTTAAGATAAAATGGAAATTACTCAAACATTACCCTTTTCAATATAGGACTTTACGTTTTCTTTCTCCATTTTAATGAAGAAATTGTCGATGTTTACCCAAACTTTTTTTTCGTTCTTAAATTCCTTTTTTATTCTGTTGAGAGCTTCCCTGTTAGTGTTGCGCGTTCGGTCATAATCTATAATCTGTTCAAATAAAATAATATTCGTTAACCAGACGCCAATTACAACTAGAAAAATTTATCTCGATTCTGCTCATTGTCATCCATTCAAAATGTTACGTAGACGTGAAAAATTATAATGAAACTTGCCAGTTGTTTATATGTTAAGATGTCTTCGGCAATTTGTTCACGTTTTGCGAGAGCTAAAATGCGGTTTATATTTTCAGGCCTGTTTTCGCCATATTATATTTTCATAGAAACGATAACAAAAAATACACACCTGGGACGCATTCCATTTTCCAGTAACAACACACAAATAAGCGAATTGGTTATGCAATAAATTTCGTAGCTTAAGGGAAAGCGCGTAAGTTAGAAAAACAGGTAAAAAAAAATTTTTTTTATATTACTGCCGTGTAACCTGCATTATACGGTAAAAAAAAAAAATTTTTTTTCATATATTATTGATTATTCCTAAGGGTGGAACAGAAAGTTTTCGGACCCCAAAATAGTCACCCCGAAAATTAATATTGATGCACGTACTGTATATTGGTAATTATTTTCGAAAAAATCATGCTTAATATTTTGTTCGTCTTCGGGGTTTTGGATTTTTTTGCATTATCAATGTCAAAAATAATTGTCCATATACAGTACTAAAAATAAACGACATGGGGGCATTATTCTTACGGCACTTGTGCGTTACCAATTAAATCATGTGATTTTCGCGTAGCGAAATTTGTTAGAGTCTACACTAATGTTTCGTGTTATAATTTTTTATTTGAAATTGATTTTTTATTAATAAAAAAATGGCATCAAAAATTTTTTCTTTTTCTTTTTTTTTTTGTTTTTAAAGTAATGTAATTAAATATAAAATAGAACTTGCATGGGAGGAAATAGATGGACTCAAAGCCATAAATAGCTATTCCTATACTTAGGTTCTATTTTATATCATTAAATTACATCTCTATTGGAATAGGAAAATTGAGTGTTTTTTCTATTCTAGTAAGTAATCTTTGTCTACTTTTGCTACCCATTATTGTTAAAGTATGATTTTTTGATTGTCTAAATAGAGCATATTTTATTTTTCTTGTATATTTAACTATTTTTATCTTAAAGGAGATTTCTATATAATCATCAAAATTAAATGTATTAAGAGTTGAAATATATAATTTCCATTAAATTTTGTAAATAATAAATATAAAAAAAATTATCTATAATTAATTTGTGAATATTATTTCTAGGTTGGGTATGTGAATAAATATTAAAAATAATATTGAAAGAAAATTAAGTTTTGCTTTTAAAAAAATCTATTAATTCTTCAAGAGTATGAATATTTTAAATTGCCTTATTCTCAAAAAACCATCTAAATAGTACATCAAAGTGACTATCAACAATCTTTTTCTATGGTATTTAGCAAAAAAAAAAAAAAAAAATCTTTTGTTATAAAGAGATGGCAAATAATTTAAAATAAAATATAATAGTTCAGTTAATTTAAAATAAGAACTAAAATTTAATCAAAAACAAATTTCATTAAATTATGATATAAAAGAATTAAAAAATAATGAATTAATATAATTAGAAACAAATAAAGAATTATAAAAAAATTTTTTTAAAAAAAAAATCAAAATATTGTATTTGAATTGTATCATTATTATTTTTATAATAAATATCAAATCCTAAAAAATAAATTTGTGTTTTTTTATAAAAATTTCTATCAGTTTCTATAAAATTACCATTAATTTTAAAATTTTTCTTAAAATCTATAATTACACTATAAGAAATATTTGTAATATAATTAATAGATTTTTGTTAAAAATAATAATATTTTTTTTTTATTTAATCGCAACTAGTATTAGATGCAAGCTTTATTATAGAATTAATTTAATTTGATAGATAATTAAATTCTACAGCAGTTACATCAATTATCTTCTACAAGTCATATATTTCTATATATATATATAGCTTAATAATAACCTATCACGGTTTGTTCTATATAGACCTGCAACTACTCTATGAGTGGACAGACCTAGCTAGGGACCAGATAGTTAAATACACAGTTATCAATGGCAAGTCAGGCTAATTTAGTAGTGAGCTTTTATAAATTTTTGTATTATATTCACTAAATTAGGCTGTTAGTATGTACCTGACAGGATATATAACACCCTCCAATATTCCCAGATATATCATTCACTTAGACCTCAGAAGAAAGTACTTATCTTCTTTGTCACTACCTGTATTATCGGATCAGTCCCTATTGACTGATTTTCAATTAAGTGAAGCATCAAATTGGGATATCCTGAGCTAGGAGAGTGGGGTCCTGGAAATTGCCAGGTCAAAGTGGGGTTTTGGGGGCATTTGTGGAAGGCTAGACCAGAAGCCTTTCTTCATGCAATTTTTCCGGTAATATGACCGTAGATCTCAGTCTCTGATCAATGAAAGGCCAGAAGTCTTATCTTCATGTAGCCTAACCTGATTAGAACTTGTTTCAGATGGTGGGGTATAACTTTTATAGAATAACTGGTCAAACTTGATCAGAAAAATAATTTTTTTGATTTTGGTCCTTAAGTGATATTGAACTACAGACCTTGTGATTGTGACCTGGAAGCATTACCACTATGCTATTGACCCACAGATCTGTTAAAAATAATATTGTTGAGTTTTGAAATAAAAATATTAATTATAAAAATGAATTTGATCTTGTAATTATAAAATAAGATGAGTATTAGAAAAATTAATTTGTTATAATTTTTTTAAAAAATTTTTTTCTTTAACACAAATTGAACACATATTTGTTTTTTTTTATACTTTTTTAAAGTTTGAAAAACAATATTTGTAAAATAATTCAAGAAATAATTTTGAAGAAGAATTTTGTATTTTTAATTTAAAATAATTTTTTTTTAGTTTTTTTAAATAAAAAATAGAATTAGAATTAAAAGTAGTAGAAATATTTTCAAAAAAAATAAAAATTTTGAAAATTGATATATTATATAACAATAGATGGTTTAAAATTTTATAAAAGAGAATTAAAAATAAGTTCTATAGTTAGTTTAGTAAAAGTAGATTTAAAAAAAAGAATTTGATTTTAATAATTTGATAAAAAAAATTGATTATAGCTTTTTTAAAGAGACTTTTTTTTTTTTTTTTTTTTTTTATTTTTTTCTTGGCCATGTATTTTTTTTTTTTTTTTAACTCTTGGCTAGGCCAGTACTGTGTGTTTATTAATCATACGAAAACTGATTGGGATACATAGGGCAATTGCATCGTGGCTAAACTAAAAGCTCGTACTGACACACTCGTCAACAGCCATCAATTCTTAAAAGAGCTTCGACCTCTAAGTGCAACCTTGGGGACAATATTTCGCTCCGAACTAAGTTTTGGGTGAAGACCCTCCTAACCTGTCCATTATTGCTA